AACATCAAATCTGCCAGTCCTTCTTGCTTTAAAGCCTCCCACACTTCCTGCCCTACTTCTACTTCCTAGTTTGGCTTCAGCTTAACCCCCCAGCCTGGTCTTCAGCCATGCAGGCCTCCAGCCATCCTGAGAATACTCAAGGCTCCTCTTATTAGCAATAAGAGCTGACAGCACCAAGCAATATTGATAAGCAACTGCACGATACTTCATAGGATTTTTCTCAACCAAACACTAACTATTTTACTACAATGGACATCATGACATTAGCCTCAACACTCTGTGAGTCACCAGTCATTTTCAGAGCCACAGCCATATATTTCTATGAAATCTACCAAAAATTATTTATTCCTTATCTTAAACAGTTCTGAAAGATTGTGCAAGCTTCATACAAACAAGGAAATTTGATTTGCCTCTGATCGTTATAATTACATTATTTCCCCGAGGTATAGAGAAGTTAAAATGCCTCCATAAAAAAAAAGTGTCAGAAACAGAACTTGAATCCAGGTAAACTTATTTTCAGAACCTAAGAACTCAACTACAGAACTCAGGTGTAACTCTGTTCTTACTTCTCCCCATTGCATAGACAGTCATTCCCACCTTCTTGCCTTCACTAGGATCCCTTATAGGCTCCCATTCATCCCCCAAAACCCAACTGACTAAAACATTAGTCTTTCTTCACAGTTTCCCTGCCCTATCATAAAAAATCTATCATTTACATCTCTATCTTTTTAACCCCCGTAACAGTATATACACAGCATAAAGCCTTCAAAACACTATGTTTTGGGATTTAAACTGCCCTATGTTCAAATTATAATTCTGTTATCTATTTGCAGGACATTCTTGAGCAAAAATTTAATCTCTCTGCTCCTTGAGATTTTTATATATAAAACAGAAGATCATTCTTACCGTACTCATTCATTTAAACATCTATCCATCCATCCATCCTTTTATCCAATCAACATATACCTGCCAAGTGCCTACTCTATAAAGGATCCAGGCATGTAACCATGGAAATAAAGGTACCATCTCGGATCCCACAGTGCTTAGAGCCTACGGGACAAATCCAAAGTCCTGAGAAATGCTACAACAAAGACCAAAGTCGATATAGAACAGCTTATAGGGGGAAACAACATGCTGGAACTCAGACTTGGGGGGTCAGGTAAGGACAGGGTGATGAGTAGCAGTTCAGTGAAAAGTGTCATTAAAAATATAACATAGCAAATCTTCAAGACAGATACCACAAGCAATTTCAACTTAATAAAACACTTCCACCCCACCCACACCCTCGTCACATGCCCCCCATTTCTCAAGCACTTGAAAACTTCTCAGTCAGGAAGCAAATTGGTTTCTTCAGTAAGGAGGTCACCAAACATGAAATCTTGTGCTTTTGCACAATGCAGACAAGACTAACCCAAGAGGTCAAGATAATAAAACTAAAATCTGACTATCTTCTCAGCCCTCTGTCACAACCACAAGGATTCCTTAACATTTATTCCTGTTTTCCATGCTAAAGCATTTAATGACAGAACAAGGAAATCATTTTTACATTTTTCTGGGGGCTGAGCTGCAGCAAAAAGTGAGAGAGCAATTGCAGCTTTCAAAAGCGATGCTAATTGTAGCTTTTAAAATATTAGACTCCCTCTAAACACCCATCACCCCCATCCCCCAAGAGTTTCTGGGTCTTTCTTAAAGGTACAGGGAGGATATTTCCATGCAAACAGCATTGTCTTACCTAAGAAGTTTAAAGTGGGCTGTGTGTGTGGTGGGGTGGGATGTCCACACCAGGGTGTGTGTTGGAGGTCAGGGGACAACCTTGGGTATAGTCCTCACCTCCCACCTTGTTCTGTCATATGTCACTGTGGAGGCCAGGCTAGCTATCCTGCAAGCTCTGAGAAAGTCTCCTGTCTTTCTCCCATCTCAGCACAGGAGCGCTGAGGTTACAGATGTGCATTGCAGTCCAGCTGTACATGGATTCCAGGGATTTGAACTCAGGCCCTTGTGTTTGCATGGGCAAGTGCTTGACTCCCCCTTAAACGCTTCTGTTGAGTGAGTCAGTCCTACTTGTTCTTGGGTCCTGCATTGCTTTATCTTCATCAGCACTGACTGGCAAATGGCCAGTGTCACAGAAAAGCTTTGTGCTCCACAAAGGAGGACAGTTCCCGAGCCCCAACTAATTTCCGCATGAAGTGGGGACCTCCATGTTCATTTGGACTTCCTACCAGGCAGTCATCAAGGGCAGAACTTAAGCCTCCACATTACAGGAGTCACAGAAGGCTTCAGAGGCAAAGACAAAGGAAGAGAGGTCTGCACAGGAGACCTGCTGGCTTCTTCCTTCCTCTCAGGGCAAGAGAGAGGAAAGGGTAGTCACACTGGCAATCCGTTATAAATGCCTTTCTTTACAGTGCTGAAACAGACGAAGAGGCAGGGGTAGTAGCAACTCTGTTGCCCACATTTTATAATTAATTACAGGGAAATCACCCCATTCCAGACAAGAAGAGGGATGTGGGGGAGGAGGAAATGAAAAAGAAGCAACTAAGCAAGGAACGAGGCCAAAGTTCACTTATGCGAACATCATGAGATGCAGGAGGGAGCTGTATTGTCTCAAGAATCCCACCTCGACCCCCAGATTCCAATTAGCAGAGGAGAATGGGTAGCCCACTTCTCCCTCCTAAATAAGGATCCCAGAAGATAAGAGCTTGTCAATTTACTGATGCTTCTGGCATCAAACTTTAAGTGTGGATGGCACAATTCTTTAGCAGTGTAATCTATGAACTGTTTGTATAATTATTTGTATAATACTTTTCCTGGAAATCTAAAGATCTGTAGTCAGTTCTAAAAGAAGAGGGTGATCCACAAAACATTGTGTGAAAATACTGGCTGAATTCAGTTCATTCTGTGAAGTACGGAACGTATCAACACAGCTGTAAACGTTTAAATACACTGTCCTTTCACACCTGACTCACACCCTGCAACCCCGACCTCCTCTCCACCCCCACCCCAGCCAACAGATCTCTATATTTATGATACAAATCTCCTCAATGTATATAAAGGAACTAGAATCAGATCCGAATCGGGTCAAAGAGTGGGCAGATGGCTAATTGGAACCCTGCCTGATCTATAACAGAATCTAAAGTAACTATGAGATGCCCTCTTCTGGCCTCTGCAGGCACATGGTGCATATACATATATACATACAGGCAAAATGCCTGTACGCATAAAATAAACACAAGGGTTAACATTTTAAAATAACGGTGAAATTTTTCATAGAAATAAAAATCAGACACGAAAATTTATAGATGTTAGAATTTCTCTTACGGAAACAATTGTGGATGGAATGTAGAAAAAAAAAAACAATTTTCAAAAGGAAGCTCATAATAGAGATGAACCCAGAGAGCCTACACATGAAAACACACACACAGAACACACACACACACACACACAGAACACACACACACACACACACACACACAGAACACACACACATGCACACACAGAACACACACACACACACACACACACACACATGCACACACACACACACACACACACACACACAACACACACACAAAGCACACACACACACCCCCAAGCACACACACACACACACACACACACACACAACACACACACAAAGCACACACACACACCCCCAAGCACACACACACACACACACACACACACACAACACACACACAAAGCACACACACACACCCCCAAGCACACACACACACACACACACACACACACACACACATGCACACACACGCAACATCACTGAATTCTCATTTTAGGGGACATCCTTATATAGGCTAAGGAAACTGGGTCCCAACATGGACTAACCATGGAGGATGTGTTTTGCTGAGCTGGCCACAAGGACCACTTTTCTTCCTCTCCTCATCGACCCTGTGGAAAGCAGCCTTGCCTGATGACTGACTGAGCAAACGGCTAAAGAGCAGCGGCAGGGGTAGGGGCATGACGGAATGCAGACAGAGCCTACCAAGGCAAGCAGGCTTGTTCTTGCTCAGAGTGCAGCCAACCCGCCCACCACATGACGGAATGCAGACAGAGCCTACCAAGGCAAGCAGGCTTGTTCTTGCCCAGAGTGCAGCCAACCCGCCCACCATCACACCTTTTTCATATGCTGGATATAGTTCTATTTGCCTTTCATCCCTCTCAAATTTAAACTCACATCCTATGGCTATCAATGCTTCTTGACACAATCAAAATATTTGTAGACGAGACTTGACCAATGGATTTTCACTCCACTGGGGCTAGTCAAAAGGGAGACTGGTGACTAAATAAAGATCTCTTTGGAAAAAGAAAATCATTTGCAGTTCTCACTTGCCTCTAGAAGAGGGGTGGCTAATTTTAAATATCTTCCTAGAGACTACTGCTCCTACCTTGGCAATCCAGGTTCCTACCCACCTCTCTCTAACGGCTTAGCAGCACTTCGGTAACACCTTCCTTTGCCACTTCAAGAATGGTGCCTCAGCTCCCTGCAGGAGACCCTGCGCTCAGCTGTGAGAAGACCCTGCCTGCAGGGCCCACATTCTTTACCCCAAATCCTGACCTTGGGGAGTGGGGGGGCCATCATTCTCAACACAGCCCAAGAGCAAGACAAATGCTATGGATCGAGCGCCTTGCCTGGTACCAGATATTCAAAAAGAATGCTTTGGAAACTGAACTGTAAAGTAGCAAAGCCTACAGTGTTGGCAATCTGTGGAATGAGAGCTGTCTCCCTTTTAAGGAGAAACCCACCACACCAGGGAGAGGGAGAAAAAGGAAGGAAGGAGGAAAACCCAGTTGAAACTCGGCATTTACTTGAAGAGGAGCCAGCAGAATGTAGCACATGGACAGTTGCACAACACTGAGGGAAGGCGTACTCAGAAGGCTTCCTTGGCACTATTAAATTTCTTTGGTGGCAGCCTCGGCTGGGAAGGCAAGGCACAAAAGTTGCACTCAGGATTCTGAGGACCAAGAGGTGGTGTCTGTGAACTTACAGGGATAGAACGGCTGAGGAATCTCGCTGAGGAGGAAGAAAGCCCCCCCGGGAAAGAGGGTCTAAGGATGGCGGTGTGCTCCTCGGGCTTGGCGCTCAGGGGGCCTGGGGAGCTATTCAGGTTGCCCCCAAGACCGCTGCTGCTGCTGCTGCTGCTTCTGGTGTACTGGTTGTTGTTGAGCTCGGGATAATTTCTGCCAGGTGGCTGGGAACTGCCATTCAAGAAGCTGGTGAAAGGGCTGGCTATGAAGGCTGCCTTGGTAGGTGAGGCCGTCTTTTTGTTCTCAGGGTCATCTGGCACAGCATTCAAGTTCCCTAGAGAACTGGCTAGCCGGGAGTTTATGGAGAAGCTGGGGAAGAAACACAGGTGGAGAGGAAAGAAATAGACAACAGTGTATAGTCCCATATGTAAACACAGCATCATGGGAATGCAATGAAGATGATTCTGACCCACACAGGTGACTTGGTGACATCATCATTTGTGGCCTTATTCATACATGTCAAGTTTCTTGGTCTAGAGCAGTTAACCACGACCCAAGAAACCGGCTTAAACACTGGCTGGTCTTAAAACACTTGCGAGTTGTATCTGCCAGAGGCAACAAGTAAATATAAGGAGAGTCTGGAAGGTGACTTAAGTCCCAGATTTAACCCAGACGTATTCTAGCACAGCATGACTATCCCTCAAGCATCTCTTCCCATCTGAGTTGGTTCCCACTGTCTGGACACACAGGACAAGGAGCAGGGCTGTTGTTGATCAATAGTGTGGCTGACTATATTCACATCACAGGAAGCAGAGTGGAGAGGCCCTAGAAGACTGTGATGGCTCACACCCAACCATCCCTTCTGAAGCCTCACCCCCTGCTGGGGAGGAAGGACCAGGAGCCCCAGAAAAACAGTGGGCTCTTAGGAGTTTCTCCACTTCTTCCAAGTCCCTCCTCTCATAGACCTGCAGCCATATTCCTTGCCTACAGTCGATCTTTCTTACCTCAGGCTAGAGCCCTGGAAGAGGTAGAGAAAAATTACCTTCTTATATTTGCGCCCGAAGACAAAGAACCTCTGCTTATCCTTTTGGCTGTTGCTGAAGGGGACAAACACACTTTGGGGGTCTTCACAGTAGATACAGATGGTTGTGGGGAAGAATTTAATCTTTGGAGGAGGAAAAAAGGATAGTGTCATACCATAGTTGTGTTACCTTTTTGCCTATTTCCATCCCTCGGTATAAGCTCCTTGAGGGCAGACTTGTCTCTCCTTTCCACCCCCAAGGGTTCAGCGGGTGCTCCATAACCTGGTCCCAGTGGGCACAAAGGGAAAAGTGATCCACTGAAGAACACCAGAGCTCAGTATTAACCAAATCTCTTTTATCCTAGATAAATCCTATGATGAAACTGGACTGTGCTTTCTCCTCTGTTTTGGAAAGCCTTGTTTATGCATTCCTTCACCACCCAGCCTCCTAAGCACTACCTAGGCCATATTTTCCCCTCAAACGAAAGTGGAAAGGTTATATAAGGAAGTGACTCGGACTTTTGAGGATGCCTGGGCCAAGCAGAACTACCCACTAAAGAATATGTGGTTAGAATGAAATCCTCGAGGAGAAAATGGCAGTGTCTTTGCCCTGTTTTATCAGCAACACCGGCCAATCACTTCTGGTGTTCTCGCCAAGTGCCACAATGGATCCTGGTAATACGAGTGTCTGGGTACAACTCCAGGGGGACCAGAAAACCTTTTTCAAGAGAAAAGTACTACTATTTCCTCATCTCATGGATGAAAGAGAGAAAAAAAGAAAACTACACAGCGATAACAAATGCACACAAAAATACTGTAAAGAGAGCTAACAAATGTCTGGGTTAAAAAGAAAGTAACAGAGCACTTTGGGGTTCACTAAAGGCAAGAAGGTGCTGGGAGCTCAAAGAGAGTAGAGGTCATCACCACCAGCACATATTCCAAGGCCAGGGCAAGAGATGCCCTTTTAACAGTAAACATTAAAAATGAAGCTTATTTCAGGGTTGGGGAGAAGGCTCAGGAATAGCTCTCTGCTATTCCTGCAGAGGACCCAGGTTTGGGGTCCAGCACACACATGGCACATCATAGTTCCTGAAGGCAGGCACCAGGCACACACACATGGTGCATGTACATACATGCAGCCAAACATTGTTAGACATAAAATTAAAATAAACAAATCATTTTAAAATAAAGTTTAAGCCAGGCACGGTTTTAATCCTGGCACTTGGGAGGCAGAGGCAGGCTGATCTGTGAGTTCAAGGCCACCTGGTCTACATAGCGAGTTCCAGGACAGCCAGAGAGCTATGTAGAGAAAACTGATCTCAAAAACAAACAAAACAAAACAAAAAAGGAAGCTTGTTTTAAAATCAGAAAGAAAGAGGATTTGAAAAGCTGTAAGTTAGGCTAACGGTATTACTCAGTGTGCAAGGCCCTGAGTTTTATTCCAACTACCAGAATAAACAAGTGGATAGAAAAAGCTGTGTAGTTATGTTTATTTTCATGGGGTTTGACGCTTGGAAAATATTTCTAAAAAGTCACATGTATTTACAGCAACTAGAAGTGTTTATTTGTCAACAGTACCTGAAAGTCTGGGACACTGCCCTTTGGTGTCCTTTCATATCATCTGACCTGCAGAAAGCAAAGACAAGAGCTCAGATATCACCAGGTCCCCACAGCTAAACACAGAACAGTACATTTGAGTCAGAAACATAAAGATTATAAATCATCAAAAGAGAAAAACCATGTGGGAAGGGGGGGGTTGTATCAGCGTTCACACACTTTACAAGATTAATCCTAATGCCAGCAGGTCACCCATGTTTGTTATTTCCCCAGGAATGTTACTTAGAGCATCTTGCTGTTTCACACAAGGTGCCATTGTATCTGCTCAGTAGAGAAGCGTTTCCTGATGGTGTTATGGTGGAAACCAAAGTCTACCCCCTAAGAAAGCATCAGAAACCTCGAAAGAAAACTCACATCTAAACATTGCTTCCGAGATCTGTACAGAAAGGATTAGTACTTATACATACGTATTTGGTAAATTAAACTTTCTTCCAATAACGTGGTTGGCAACCTTCCTAATGATGTGACCTTTTAATTACAGTTCCTCATGTTGTGGTGACCCCCCCAACCAGAAAAATCATTTCACTGCTACTTCATAACTATAATTCTGCTACTGTTATGAGTCATAATATTAATATCTGACATGCAAGATATCTCCTGTGACAACCCCACCCCATGAAAGTGCTATTTGACCCACGGAGGGGTTGCGACCCACGGGTTGAGAACTGCTATTCCAATATACCCTTTCCTTCTCCTGTAAGATTTCTTTTGCTTTTAACCCAATCACAAGGTTTCAACTGTTCTGTGGTTAGATGTCCACTCCCAGATCTGATTTTATCAACTAATTTCAAACCTCAAATTCGAGATGGCTTATAATTTCTCAGACACATGGAGGAATCACTTAATCAAGTCTCAGAAATGGAAGATGAAGTCAAGTAGTAGAATATACCAAAACTTGGCACAACCTACTCTACTTCATGAGCTGGTTCCAATTCAGAACCTTGGCACACCGGTGAGGACCTGCCACACAGCAAAAATGTGCCTGGGAATCTCCGAATATGATTTAGAACAGAGAACCAGAAATAAGTGCTCAGCAGTTCGAGGCAGAATTCCAGAAACAGAGACGTAACCACTGTTTTCATAAGCATTTAAATTAGTCTGCTCCCAACAGTGATAACACACACACAACAGCTGAGGATGGAGGAAAAGAGCAATGCATCAGAAACACAGGTAAACTCAGTATTTGTAGAATGGTAGTCTGAGGAGAAGAGGAAATGTTTTACCCGCAAACACAAGTGCACTATGAACCAAAAGGTTAAAGATGGGGTTACCTAAATGCACAGGATGGCGAGGAACGGGGCTGCCTCTGGCTTTTTAAGGCACGTAGTTTGTCTCCCTGTGTTATGCTGCTTTTCATTTCCACATCTTCATCTTCTAAGTTACTCTGAAAAACAGGCATGTCCCATAGAAAGGTCATTACAAACAGTTTAGCTTTACACCAATGTCTTAACAGAGTACAGATCATCTGCAGTTATAGATAACAGCATGGAAATGGTCTCACTGTAGATTAAGTTATTTAAATGTGTTATGAATTCAGCAGTAAATACCTACTATAGAACACTCAGCATTTAAGTACATGGGTCAAATTCCAAATCTAAGAAGCTTGAGGCTGGAGCTGGATATAGGAGTGTCTAAAGTCTATCTATGACAGTGGATCAAAACCAAAGAAACTCTCCTGTGGACACATTAGCCTTTGGAAAACAGCCTGGCACAACTCCGATCTATAAACACATCATAAATGTTTCCAGATATTACAGGAGCCACCAGTGCAAATCCCTATTCATAAGCATGCATGATAAAATAACTGAAGACATCTACACGGTCACTTTTGGCATTAGTTAACCTTCCAAGAAGAACTCAAGCACTCTCAGGAGTTAAAGGGCCAACAGCACTCAATCAGGAAGCCATGTTTCCTGCTGAAGTTCCTTAGTTCGAAAAGTAGAGTGGCTGACTAGTGTTTCCCCGTGGTAACTCAAGAGGAAGGGCTTCCCATGGTAACTCAAACGGAGCCCTGAGGGGAGACAGAAGAGCTAGCTCCCATCTACCACAAACAGGAAGTGGAAGGAGAAAGGTCATTTACATGGTAACTCAAACGGAGCCCTGAGGGGAGACAGAAGAGCTAGCTCCCAACTACCACAACCAGGAAGTGGAAGGAGAAAGGTCGTTTTAATTTTTTTAAAAATTATTTTTAAAATAAATTTTAGTATTTAGAAATACAACAGTGAAACTGTCAGTATGATCTGCTCAGAGGACTGGGGAAAAGTGAAATGGGATTTTTTTTCCTAGCATTCTATTTTCATGTTCTAAGTCATGTTTATATAATACCAGAAGATAAAAAAACGAATCCTAAAAGGTATATCTAGCATTCTATTTTCATGTTCTAAGTCATGTTTATATAATACCAGAAGATAAAAAATGAATTCTAAGAGATATATCGTTAAATAAAATGAACAGGATATTTAAAATAATAATTACATCCGGTTTTTTTTTTCTTCACTAAGTGGCAAATTTTAAAGTGCCAGATTTTTGTTGTTATTGTTGTTTGGTTTTGCCTTTTGTTTTCTGAGACAAAGACTCACTAGCTCAGGCCCATGATCATCCTGCCTCAGCCTCCTGTGCTGAGGCCTGACCCACCATGACCAGCAGGTTACAGAGTTTCTAAATTATGATAGATTTCAAAAACATAAAATAATACTGCAAAAACATAATGTTTTTACTCTATCCCTTTAGTTTAATGAAGTCTCACTCTTAAAGAAGAAAGCACTACATACGTAGTCCCAGCTCACACTCCCTGCAGAAGAAAACTCTCTTTTCTTAGGAGGAGGAGGAAGAATAGTATTGAGCCAGAAAGCTAGAGGGGTGGACACTGAGCTACAGGATTTGGGATTTGCTCTGCAGGGCTTCAATCATGTTTGGTCCAGCATTTCCCTGGCCATGCCCCTTCCCTTTTGGAATGGTGATATATATTCTGTGCCATAGGATGTGGGAAGTATATAGTTTGCCTTCTGGTTTTACAGTTAAGGGCTTACAGTTAAGACATTGTCTTGAATCTCAGAAGAGACTTTGAACTTTTATACTGTTTTGGAACTGATAGACTATGAGGACTTTTGAACATGAACTAAATATATTGTGCATTACAATATGGCTACAAGCCTATGGTGCTCAGGGAATGGAATGTGGTAATTTGAATGAGAATGATCTCACAGGTTCATTTATTTAAAAACTTTGCCACCAGTGAAACATAGCTGCTGTGTTAAGGATATAAATGCTCAGCTACTGCTCCAGAGCTAGGCCTGCCTGCTTGCTGCCAATGCTTCCCACCAAAATGGTCATGGACACATGCACTAGAACTGAAAAGCTCAACAAACTCTTCCTTCTATAAGCTGCCTTGGTCATGGTGTTTTATCATGGCAACAGAAAAGTAAGACAGATAAATCATACATACATACATACATACATACATACATACATACATACATGATAGTTTGATAAAAAGATATGATAGATGACAGACAATAGACAGAATATATATATATATATATATATATATATATATATATTCAATCATACATTTTGCTTAAGAAATAAAATACAGATAAGCCTGAAAAATGTTAAAGCACCTACAGATTTACTATCAAAAGAAAAGAAAAAATCTTGGCACAGTTCTCCAGAATTTTCACAGTGCTGTGCACATTCTCTTCTCACCTCATAGCCAGACATTTTTCTGCCTTGCAAAAACAGGTTTTATTACACATGTGGCTTTGTAAGTTATTATTAAAATAAATGCATATTTATTATGGTGTTCCAGGACAAATGAAAAAGAACCTTGCATTGTCATTTTATAGCCCCATAACATTCTGTTGTCTAGACATACCAAATTGCTTCTTTAACAAATACTTTAGATCACAATATTCTCTGCCTCTCAGCACTGTACACAGCTTTAACAAACACATTCTAGATGCAAATGATTGTCTAACACTGCCCTAGTACTGTGAAAGAAAAGTTCATGAAGTGGAATTACTAAGCTCGTTTGATTTTTTTTGTTTTTGTTTTTTTGTTTTTTGTTTTTTTAAGACAGGGTTTCTCTGTGTAGCTTTGGAGCCTATCCTGGCACTTGCTCTGGAGACCAGGCTGGCCTCGAACTCACAGAGATCCGCCTGCCTCTGCCTCCTGAGTGCTGGGATTAAAGGCGTGCGCCACCAACGCCCATATTAAGCTCATTTGAAAGCTATCTTCTAAATGTTAATATATTAATATTATATTATTATTAATAATATATATTCACTCTTCACCAGACAAAGAGTGAGAGTACATCTTTAATATTTGATAGATATAAATAGCATCCTAATATGTAAATTCACATTTCATTTCTAGGGATGTTTTGTATTTAGGAACCAGGAGGTTTTCATAATTTTTGTGTGTGTACATACACTGCCTTCAGTGTTCTGCATATGTTTAGAAATGTATTTGAGTACATTGCAAACATTTCCTTCTAGCTGCTCCATGGTTGGAGAATGAATTGGGGAAGGAAAGGGCCAAGAATGAGGCAGACAGTTAAGTGGCTTCTATAAATATGAGAGAAGACAGCTTAGATTAGGATGCAGCAAACTGCTTAGACGTCAAGACCTGAGAAAGGAGAAGGCAAAGTGAAGAAAGATCTAGACATTCAGGATAGGTCTAAAGAAACCTAGCAAAGGATAGACCATGTCATTATTTATGTACAGATTTTAGAATATTTAAGAGACTAAGAGGTACAGAGCTATAATCACAAAACCATCAGTAAACAAATTAACACATTTTGTTTGTTTGTTTGTGTTTGGTTTGTTTTTTTGAGGCAGGTTTTATCCAGTCCCGAGGCCTCGAAATCATTATGTAGACAAAGCTGGCCTGGAGTTCCTGAGCCTCATGTTTTCTTGCTCTCTCCTGCCAAGTGCTGGGCTCAAAGGCTCATGCTACTATTATGGTCCTCTGTGCTCTCAAATTCCTGACAAAAACTTACACAATGTCATTCAAAACACGATTGCATTGTGTTATACAATCTTCAAAACTACAGTTTGGGAGAATGTGTAGCTTTCAGGAGGTGGGGCCTGGTTAGAGGAAGTGGATTGCTAACCAGGATGGGCAAGGCTGAAGTTGAGCTTTAGAGCCCTGCCCAGCTTCCAGGCCTAGCTTCTCTGCTTCCTGGTGACTGTGGCATGAAGAGACAGCTACCATACGCTCTCACTGCCTTGGAAACACCCAACATCATACCTTCCCTGCAATATGGACTCTGTCTCTTCAAACCATGAGCCAAAATAAGCCCTTCCTCCCTAAGGTGTTTCTTGCCAGATACTTTGTCCCAACAAGGAAGTAAGTAGCTACTATCCCCATAGTACTTTGCCCCCTGAGGGGTTTTTGTTGTATTGTCTTTCATTTCCTTATTCTAACTGTAAGAACAATAGCACTTATGAATGGCTAAAATGGAAATAACTATTCATGGACCTTACCAAAATTCACACAACTATGTTCCCCAAAGTTTATATGTTGATATTCTAACCCACAGTGATGGTATTTAGAGGGGGGGGGGGTCTCTCAAGAGTGGTGAGATCATGTGGCAGCCCTCAGGAGTGGACAAGGTCCCAGAGAGCTACCTCTTGCCTTCATCCTATGACGACAAGGAGAGTGTACCATCTATGCCCAGAAAATAGACTGCCACCCCTGCCTCCAGAATGCCTTAAATTACTGTTGTTCATAAGCCACACAGTTCCTGGTATTTTGTTGTATGAGTTTGAATAAACTAAGCTGGGGGAGAAAGATCTAAATATATATTTCTTTTCTTTTTTTCTTTCTTTTTTTTTTTTGTTTTTTTGTTTTGTTTTGTTTTTCAAGACAGGGTTTCTGTGTAACTTTGGAGCCTATCCTGGCACTCACTCTGGAGACCAGGCTGGCCTTGAACTCACAGAGATCCGCCTGCCTCTGCCTCCTGATTGCTGGGATTAAAGGCGTGCGCCACCAACGCCTGGCTAAATATATATTTCAAGATGACATATTTGAATTTTCAATCATACAGCATCCTTTGATTTTTCCCATGGTAAAGAATAATTAGTCCTGAGTTGAACAAATAGGAATGTAAAAAACGGGTGAGAATGAAAATGGTCTGCTACATCAGTGGTTCTCAACCTATGCATTGTGACCCCTTTGAGTGGTTAAATGACCTTTCACAGGGTCATTTAATATCAGATATTTGCATTACAATTCATAACAGTAGCAATATTACAGTTACAAAGCAGCAACAAAAATGATCTTATAATTGGGGGAGTCACCACAGGAACTGTGTTAAAGGGTCACAGCACTAGGAAAGTTGAGAACCACTGGACTAGATAGTATTTTGAAGAGACAGTAATTTAGAAGGCATTTGTTCTTTCTAAAGGTAGCTGTGTTCCTTAGAGAGATAAATGTTACACTCTTCAGAAGTCACAACCCAGAACAAGAAAGAAAAGATGTTCTTGTTTAGCAATATTAGCTCATTAAAATTTAGTGCTGATCCTTCATTTGCTTCTCATAGTCCAGACTGCAACAACAGCAAGAAAAAGTCAACAAAGGTTCTGTTAGCTAAGATTTACATTTCATCAGGACAGATGACTCCAACAGTAAACTCAGCCACTCCATCTGTGGCTGTCCTGGGAGACAAACACAACATTTAAAACCAACTACTTCAGCAATCTCCATCCTGTGTCCTAGAATGAAGCTCCCCCCGCCCCCGCCCCAATGAAGCCTGGATGTCTCTCTGACTAAGAGAAGTCTTTGGGAGATGCCAAGGGTTGGTTTAAGACAGCTATGCACTCCTTCCATGTGGGCTCTTGGAGGCTAAGCTTCCTTAGGGCCCTGGTCTGGCTCAATGGAGCATCCAGCTGAGGGGCTGTAAACTACACTTATTGCTTAAATATTTCACCCATGTATATAAATGTCCAAAGTTCCAAAGCTAACATCCGTTGTCTTCCTAGAGGACTCTCCACCTCTCTTACTAAGGACTCTTACTCAACTAAGTTTGCTGACTGCCTAGCTTATCTAGCGAGATTGCCTGGGGCAACCCCTGCCATTGCCTCCCTAATTCTGAGGTTAGAGGTGGCTACCTCACTTGCCCAGCTTTTCTGTGGCTTCTGAGGATCTGAACTCCAGCTCTCATTGCCCTTTCTTTTGCCTCTTTAGAAATATAAAAATATAACCCAAATTCTTAGTTTTACCTCAGGCCAATGTTAATCAAAGAGTTAAAGCAGCGTCAGGTATAATGACTTGTGCCCATAATCCCAGATTCAGGAGACCAGGCAGGTGGATCATCTGAATTCCAGATTAGCCTAGGCTACAAACCCTTTCTTAGGGGAAGAAGAGCAAGCTAAACTAAGCATTGAATACCCATCCCTGAAAGTGATTTTACTCCTCAATAATTCAAAACGCTTGGGCAAATCATATTTTTGGATCTCTCATTTCTTATCCACAGAAAAGAATTAGAACAAATGATACTAGTACAACTAGTACAGTTGCTTCCAGCTCCCAAAATACTCGGGCTCCAAATTCTTGGTAAGTCACTTCCTGCTACTTCAGATGTAATGGGGAACAATAGAAAAAAAAAGGAAGAAGAAAAAAAAAAAAAAAAAAAAAAAAAAAAAAAAAAAAAAAAAAAAAAAACAAGAGTTTGGAATCAGACAGACACGGATTGAATCACACCTTAAGACACATCTCCAGAACACAATTTCCTTACTATAAAGCAGAGACATCACTGAATTCACGAGGTGGTGGTATGAATTAGATCAGATTAGAGAAGGAACTGGATAAAACATGTTGTCCTAACTCTGCTTTCCCTCTGTACACTTTACAAATCAAAAAGGAATTGGAGGCTTTCAAAGTACTACTTGTGCTGGGTATGGCTTCTGCGAACACAGCATCAAACATTTTCTTCTTGCTATCTAGTTCTGTTTCAAATGGAAACTTATTCTGTTGCCTTTCTATAAATATTCTTTACATCAGAATCACCCTGTTTATAATTTTCTAATTAAATTATGACTTTATTTCCTCCTTTATAAAGACAACTGGTTTCCTTCTTCTGCTTTGCATTCTGGAGGCCAATGACTCAAAGCTTAGAAACTTAGCCTTCCCAGGAGCTCAAGGATTAGATAAGATCTCTGTGCTGATGATATGTCTTAGCAGGAAAAGACACTTGCCACCTAGCCTATGACAACTTCAATTTGATCCCCAGAACCCATGTGGTAAAAGGTGAGAACCAATTCCCAAATGTTGTCCTCTGACCCCCTCATGTGTAATGTAGCAGGCATAAACACACACACACACACACACACACACACACTCACAAATAAATGTTTTAAAAAGACAGCAAAGATAGAGCCATGTGATATAAGTTTAGTGGGGAAACATAAAGAATACTGGTGTCAAGGAGGTAGGCTCCTCCTGGGGAAAACTCACCTCTCCAAACCTTTCCATGCTTTGTAATTTAGATAAGTTTCCACCAATAGACATATCATCCAAGCTAGAAATAATTTTATTAATACTTCCTTCACTGGAAGGTCTATTTTTCAGTTTGGAACGAAAAATGTCTCCTTGGACCCACAATGATGCTTGTTTTCTGTAAAAAATGAGAGAAAATAAAATATTTAGAATAAACTATGATTATTGTCTCAATGCTATGATACCTAACAAGAAAGATATTAACAAAGTATTTAACAATTAGACTAAAAAGGTGATAGAATCGTAGAATATACCATTGTATTTCTAAAAAAACTAAATCTTTTAAAAATTAGATGAATTTTTTTTTAAATGTGAACAATAGTTCAGACATCTAGCCACATCAGTTTACTAATGAGTCAGGCTGTCTCTGTCTTCTATCGTGGTAGAAGTTGCTTTGGAAGCTAGTCCTCAAGTTGTATTTTCTAAGCCTAGGACATATAAACTGATGACGTTAGCATACCACTGAGTCACAGTTGATTTTCTATACCAGCTGTAAAAATACAGACTTAAAACAACCGTAATATTTCTTTCCTTTGTGCAAATGTTTAGAAGAGTGTAGCCCAGCCTCTCATATTCTTATATCTTCAAAGCATCTTGCCTTCACTTTTGTACCCCAGCCTTTCTACTTCACACCAGCGTCTATCATAGCCCTCATCAGATGTTTGACTCTTCTTATGGGCTTCAAATAGTAAAATAGCAGAGTCCTTGACAGAGAAAGAAAAGGTCAGAAGATGGCTGATGAATTCATACAGGAACATTCAAGGACTGTTATTGCAAGGGAGGAGAGCTTTGCTTTTCACGGATGCTAACAAATCCAGATACATGAAACACAGGGAAAAGACAGATTTAAGATAAAAGACAGAATCCTTCTCCCTGAAGAAGTTTCTTAAGATGGGGAAAGCAAACAACTGAAATCCAGCATATTGAGGCCCTGTGGGCGAGACATATTCAAGACCCAAGGCAAAAGGGCCCAGCCCTGTCTAAAAGAAATCAGCCATCCCCTGTGAGCCCAAAAGTCAAGTGTCTGTGCGCACAAACACCTGCATAGACGTAGGCACACACACACCTCTCCTCCCTTCCTCCCTTCACCCCCCATCAAAAGGAAGCCTACCATGAAGCACAATGTCATGTTACAATGTACCAGTTGCATGTTCCTCCTTTTAAAATTCATGTCGGTGACTGGCCAACCTGTGAGGAAATGACACAGCAGAGCATGCAGGGCTGTTTCACTTGGCTGCAGCAGAAGATGTTGGGAAGCATCCTGGCTCATGGTGGGTCTTGGATGTGATGTCCCAAATACAGAGGTTATGGGAGCGTATTTTAAGATTTAAAGAAAACAGTATGAGATGGTAACAGAGTCAAAAAGGACCTAAAAGAGGTTAAAGTGAAAAGAAATGTCCAATTCAAGACTAAGTTATAAGATGAAATCTTGGATAGTGCTGACAGCCCTAGGATGAAACTTGCAAAGTGACAACTCCACTTGCTTGATTTAAAAGATTCAGCCCGCCCTGTCTCCGGGAAGACTCGATCTGAACCTGAATATTAAAGATGAATAAGGTGTCAGAGCTGAACCGAGTGTTGCTAAGCAATGATGTACGCAATTGCTTCTTGAGAAAAAGGAAGCGGCATTTCATGCAGATACCTTTCCACAGACGATGCACACTGTGCTAGCTTTTATAGTGGTGTCTGTCGCCCCTTAAAAGCCTCATCTCAAACAAAAGAAGTAAAACATGTATTTTAAAGTGTTTAGCATTGAGAACTCGGTTCTTGTAAAGCTGACACATCTGCTGGAAGCCAATCTCCCAGTACTGTAGCACATTTTCCAAGAGCAAGAAATGACTGGCCCTTTGCTAATAGAAGATAAGTTTTGAAGCAACAGGAAAAGATATGTCTTGATCTGAATGAAACCTGCTAGAGAGATGTAGCCAGGACCAGGTAATTAATTTTGATTGGGCTAGACCAATGTGAGATATAAGGAAAAACTAAATAACTTGGCTTCAATATGATCCAGTATAATTGGTCTGGCTGCCTCTTTGTAAATATCTGCTTTTAGTGCAAGTCAGTTTAGTTGCACTGCTCTAAATATTTCTGGGTCTGAATACAGGTCACACAGAAGTCACTGTGTAGTTGCTTCTATTTGGGGCTCACTTGTTCTCCCTCATTGCCCTAAGGTAAGCCAATATGTATTATATTATCCTGGCTCTTTAATGCAATCACTCCTTTGATCCAGGACACTGCTGACCAGGGTGAACCAACTTTGACCCCAGTGTCCATCCAAAGTCATGATTTGGTCATTTGATATAGAAACCTAATCCATTTTCTTTTGAGCTTGTATATGCTTGTGTGTGGGGCTCTCTCTCTCTCTCTCTCTCTCTCTGTGTGTGTGTGTGTGTGTGTGTGTGTGTGTGTGTGTGCGTGTGTGTGTGTGTGTGTGTGTGTGTGTGTGTGCTTGTGGAGGCCTAACACTATGGTCAGATGTCTTCTTTAGTACTCTTCACTTTATAGACTATGGCAGAGTCTCTCGGCTGACCCAGAGCTCACAGACCAGTTAGTGTAGCTAGCCAGCTTACCTCAGTGGGTCCCCTGTCTCTGTCTCCCACATGCAAGGATTACAGGCAGGACACCAAATCTATCTGGCTCTGACATGGGTTCCAAGGATCTGAACTCTGGTCCTCACGGTTATGTGACAAGTGCTTTTATATTGAGTCATTTCCTCAGTTCCCTACCCCTTCTCTAGTCTGGTATAGCATTGACCAGAGGACCCTGGTCTGTGTATAACCTCAATCTCAGTCTGCTCTGTGTATAACCTCAATCTCATAACAGACACAGGGCAATTCCTAGCTTACAGTACTTACTAGTCAAACAGCCTAACAGTATCAAAAAACGGCAGACAAGAAGCAACAAACAAGAGGCACAAAGAGAGCCGGAGAAAAGCATTCAGAAAGTCACACAATGATGATTTTGTAGAATTCCTAATGGTTAGGGGAAAGCTTGGAATCCTGAAATGCATAAGGAAATTACTACAAGGGGGAAATGATTTGGGGTAGACGTTAAAAGACACAAGTAAGTAAATCTACTTCTAGGTATAGAATTCCCATTATCGGCTGCTACACCATCTGCATGTCACTCCAATGCAAGCTTTATAACAAAAATCTAGCATGCTACTCCTTTCAGCTCTTATCTCTGACCATTTGGGACAAGGACACAGAGCATCGTATGACCTGCATAGGGTGCAATCATGCTTAGCTGGTGGAGAAGTAATATGGAGCCGCCATTGTGGAAAACAGCTTGGCAGTGCCTCAAAAAGCTACACAAAGAATTCTACATAGTGCAGTAAAAGAATTGAGCACAGACCCTCAAACATACTCGTGCACTGGTGCTCAAACCAGCATTGCTCGCAATGTTCCAAAGTTGGGATCAACTCAAATGCCCAGGAACAAGTTAATGGAAAAACAAAATTTATACAAATAGTGGAATAGTATTAAATAGGCTTAAAAAGGAATGAAAGGGCTGGAAATATACCTTGATAATAAAGTGTTTGCCTTTCATGCAAAAGTCTTGGGTTCAGTCCCCATCAATGCTAAAAAAGGAGGAAAGATAAAATTCTGATGCATGCTACAAAGAACAAGCTACAGCTGTGGTATGTATAATTAATTGCTATGAAATGCGTGAACTATGAAAAAATGCATAGTGAAATAAGCCGGATAGTTTATGAGGTACCTAGACTATGAAAACTGATAGAGCAAGAAAGTAGACTTAGAAATCACCAGCAACTGGGAGGAGGGGTCAGTGGAGGGTTATTGTTCAATAGATATGAAGTGTTTGTTTGGAATGATTAAAAAAATAATTCCACAAATAGTGGAAATGGCATCACAATATTGTGAATGTACTTGAAAATCAACAAGCTATACATCTAAAGTGGTTAAATTTTATGGTGAAAAGTAATGTTTAATTTTTAAATTTATAACAAAAAATTAATTATCCAAACTTTTATCTAATTTTACTGGCATAAGTATTTCAAAATAAGTTTCTTGCCATAATAGTTGAAAATTCTAGTAATTCCTGTTGACATTTGAGTCAATATCAAGATTTTATTTTTTTCTTAGTAACTTTTAATGTCAACTGATGACCATTAAACAAATTTAAAGGTTCAAGAGTAAACATTGAAAATAAAACCAGCAGTTTATGTAACTCAAATGTGACTCTTAGCAAATAGTGGAAACTAAAACTTAAGCAAAATGCTTACTCTTTTAATACACAAACCACAGTATCTTCTATTGTTGAATTATAATGTTTAATAATATTTAAGACTTTTAAATTTTTATATTTTAGGAAAGACCAAATATTAAAAATTTAAATTTGTTATTAAAACAATTTAGTTGAGTTCTTCGGCCTACTACTCAATGTGTCACCCCCAGACTGATCACTGGGAAACTAGCACAGAACTGATCCAGAACCCATGAATGTGGGTGTCAGTGAGGAGACCTCGGAAATCTATGGGGCCTCTTGTAACAGATCAGTACTTATCCCTAGCATAAGAATGGGCTTTGGGAGCCCATTTCACATGGAGGGATACTCCCTGAGCCTAGACACAAGGGGGTGGGCCTAGGCCCGATCCCAAAGGATAGGACAGACTCTGAAGACCCTCCCCTATGGAAGGCCTCACCCTCCCTGGGGAGCAGAAAGGAATGAGATCGGTTAGTGGGGGCAGGGGAGGAGGGGAGGGAGAGGGAACTGGGATTGACATGTAAAACAATCTTGTTTCTAATTTAAATTAAAAAATGGAGGAAAAAAAGAAATGACAGTGATCAAGCCCACAAGAACCCAGTAATTACCATGGTAGCTGTGGATAAACTTGAACTTCTAGCCCTCCTACCTCCATCTCCCCACTGCTGGGAACACAGGCATGGGCCACCACAACCATCATCTTTTAGGGTTCAAACACAGGGCCTCATGCATGTTAGCAAGCACTCTTAACATAAAACAACTCTAAGCCTCACCCCAAGCCATCTTTTTATGTGGTAGCCTGTAGTGTACATGGGTGGACAGATGTATGGTCTTGTGTGCATGTGAGAGCCAGAGGACAGCCTCGGGTATCTTTTCACCTCAATCTACCTT